AAATCCAAGATGGTCATCTGGATTTTAATGTGGACCTCAGGCTCAGTCTTCAAAGGTATTGGACTTTCATTAATGTGTTTGTGTAGAGGAGTTCGTCTCAATTATTTCTCTAACTTAGATGGTTGGCATAAGTCAACATTAGCCTTGCTAGTCATGCCACACCAGATGAGCCACTTTGACATTCTCCATATCTGAAGCCAATCAGCATTTGCCACCTGGGTGACAATCACCTTGTAGCCTCTCACTGGGTATGTAACAAGGATGTAAAGTTTTTAACAGTTTTGACAGCTGTAGTCCAGAACTCTCAGGTAGGCCTCCTTGATAATAGTGATCTGTGTGCTTTGCTTCTCAGCACATCTTGGAATCACCTAATGAGTGAGAACAGGGTGTATGTAGTCAGTCTCATTCTATCTGAGTGGTATTTTCAGACAGGCTTCACTTTGTGATACGTTCTGTTAGGGCCTGAGTGTGCCTGTAGTCATGAATGTCCCCAACTACCCTCATCTGGGACTGCCATGGGCCCAGGAACTCCATCTAAGCTTAGACCTGGACCTTCAGTTCTTCCCTGATCTATTTTATATGTATCTAGTTCTGTCTCTGATCCTGCCTCCTGAATGGACATTGTACCTATGTTGTAGGTAGCTTGTCTTCTGGATGGACCCCTCGTATGCACATTGTAGCTTTATTCCAGCTGTGTTTTTGGCCCTGTATCTTGGATAAACTTTGAACTGTGAGTCCATACAACAGTAGAATACCATTGTAACAAGGAAAACTAATGGTATCTTGAGCTGCATTAAATGTTGCCAGCAGGTCAAGGGAGGTGATCCTTCCCCTCTGCTTAGCTCTGGTGAGGCCACACTTGGAGCCCTGTGTCCAGTTCTGGGCTCCCCAGTACAAGACAGATGTGAACATACTGGAGAGAACCCAGCAAAGGGCCACAAAAATAATTAAGGGACTGTAGCATCTGTCACAAGAGGAGAGGCTGGGAGACCTGACACTGTTCAGCCTGGAGAAGAGAAGGCTTGCAGGGATCTCACCAATGTGCACAAACACCTGAAGGGAGTATGCAAAGAGGGTAGAGACAGGATCTTTTCAGCACTGCCCAGTGACAGGACCAGGGGCAGCAGGCACAAACTGAAACACAGGAGGTTCCTTCTAAACACAGGGAAACACTTTATTACTGTGAGGGTGATTAAGAACTGGAGCAGGTAATCCAGAGATATTGGGGAGTCTCCATCCTTGCACACAATTAAAAGCCACCTGGATCCTGGACAACTGGCTCTGGGTGGCTCTGCTTGAGCAGGGTGGGTGGGCAAGATGACCTCCAGAAGTCTCATCCAACCTCAATTATTCTTTGATTCTCTGAAAGGCCTTCTTTTCAGTCCTGTTTCTGGACCACAGCCCAGGCTTCTTTTGCTCCTGATTACACTTCCTGAATGTATCCTGGACCTGGTTCACTGCTTGCCTTGCTTGGGACTGTTGATGAACCCTGCACCCTACTCTGCTTGCTATGTTCAGGTGCTATGGAACCATGCCCTGGTTAGTGAATGCACTGCTAGAGCTCTGGTCACCCTTGGTTCCTCGTTTGCCTTCCCCACTGGACCTTGCTACTTCTTGTCATGTTTCTCAGAAGTATATACATAATAATGCCTAGACCTACTCATACAATCTCTCCTCATAGTAGTTTTCAGGTGAAATAAATAGAAAATAAACATACAGAATGATGAGGGGCTTCAGCAGGGAATGGAGGCACTTGGAAGGACTTAGCAGGCATGCTGGAGAAATGACTTAGTATGAGCTTCAGGCATGATCTGTAGCAGGAATGATTTGTGCAAGCCTTGGATGCAAAATCAAGCAATAGAGTGTAAGACAAGGGAGGCTGGTTTTTCTGGTTTTTTCTTTGGTTGGTTGGTTGGTTTGGTTTGTTTTTTTTGTTTGTTTTGTGTTTGGGGCTTTTGTGTGTGGGTTTTTTTTTTTTTTTTCCCCCCCATGCAAGAGCACCGTAATCTAGCTGGGAATAACATAACATGAACTAATGTCTGGGAGCTGAAATCTGAAATCATTGAGGTGCCAAAAACTCATTGAGGTGCTGGAGCATGTTCAAAGAAGATCAGTTAAGCTGGCAAAGGGTCTAGAGAGCTCCTTAAAGGAGCAGCTGAGGGAACTGGTGTTGTTTATCTTGGAGAAAAGGAGGCTGAGGGCTGAGGGGAGAACTCATCGCCCTCTACAACTACCTGAAATGAGATTGTAGTAAGGTGGGTGTTGGTCTCTTCTCCCAAGTAGCAAGTGATAGGTCAAGAGGAAATGACTCAAGTTGTGACAGGGAAGGTTTAGATTGGAAATTAGGAAAGATTTCTTCACCAAAAGGGTTATCAAGACTGGGAACAGGCTGCCCAGGGAAGGGGTTGAGTCACTATCTCTGGAGGTATTTAAAAGACATGTAGATGTGGCACTTAGGGACATGGGTTAGTGGTGGACTTTGCAGTGCTAGGTTTACAGTTGGATTCAATGATCTTAAAGGTCTTTTCCAACCTAAATGATTCTGTGATTCTATCAAATATCTCCTGATGGAAATAAGGCAGAATTACTCAAGAATGAAGGTGCTCAACAAATTAACAAGAAAGGAGGTGATTTCTTCACTTCTTGAAGTCTTCCCATCATTTATTTATTTATTCTCTAAATGAAAAGTAAAATTAATTATATTAATTTCTTGTTGTGAAATATATAAGGTATCAGGATGATAATTCAATGGTCTTTTCCGGACTTTTAACAGATACATGAGTTCATGAAAATGGTAGCTTTGAAATTAGTTTCCAAACTTTTGTTAGAGGCCTTGGCTTGTTGATGCCAGCTGCTGGCAGCCTGAGGTCTGCTTACAGTTTATCTTTTTCAAGAAAAGGAGGCATTTACTCCATTTATTCTTTTTTAATCCATTGGCTGGAGTGAAAGGAGATATGCACTTTCATACCACCTGTAGATATTCTGTAATCTGGAGTGGTTGAGTCATCTTCAACACCACAAAGACTGACCTAAATTATGTACGGGTCATTCTAAGCAATTAACATATGGTATAGTCAAAGACCACCTGCTCTCTACACATGTTCTTCCTTCTTAGGCGTGCTTGTGACATGTCCTAGGGAGTGAAGCAATTACTTCTGGACCAGATCCACTAGTCTGTTCAACCTTACTGTCCCTGTGAAGATATCACAAGATGGGAATGGACAAGACTCTTGACCTTTGGGAACATAAGTACTTCTTCCCTTGTTTTTTGAAATTCAGCAATAGCTCTGGTGTGTTACTTTCAGTCTTCTTCCCAGTGTTACGTTTTGATAGTAGTTGAACTTTAATTTTCACAGCCTTCCTGCATCTTTCACATGATACCATCATCTCATGTCCTTATCCAGTGATGGAGGCAGTAGAACAGTGTGTTTGTCCTCTAGCAATATAAAACCACTAGCATCACCCCAATCACATATCAGGGTGGATGTGGGCAAAGGTACAGGAGGGCATTCTGAAGAGCCATAGTGTTAAACAGGAGTACCCAATAGATGGACTGCTGTTCACACATGTCCTGACACTGTTTCTTTCTGTGTAGGAGTTATTTTTTTTTTTTTCCTTTATTCCCATTCTGATTTTTTTTTTTGTCCAAATAAGTGTCTAAACTTCATTTACTTGCATTTACCCATATATTAGCTTCTGTACTATGAGCAAAAGAACAACTCTGTCTTCATGTGAGGCCCTTATGTAACAGCAGTGGGGGTTACATTTCATAATAAATGAATGGGGGAGCCGTGCTGATGTGTAGATGCATCTGTACTTCCCAAATGGCAACATGCATGACATTGCAGGCAATGCCAAAAAAGACTAAAGACTTTTTTTCCTTCCTCTGCACCCAGTACATTTATGGTTGTAAAACCATCTTTTCTGCCCTCCACCTGATTTTTTCTTCATTTCGTCTAAGATTGGACTAATCTTTGCAGATTCTGAACTGCTGTGGTACAAAAAACTATTGACAAGGTTGGGATAAAACATCGAAAAGTCTATTTTTCCTCATGCTGACAAAATGTACCACTGTTCATCTAAATAGTGCTGTTCAGTAGGCATGGGTTGGTTAATGTCATAAATACTCTAAGATGGCTACAAGTGAATCATAAGTTCTAGCTCTTTTGTTTGGGGTTACTGAATCTAATGGTCCAATAGTGTCAAGACTGCTACAGATCCCTTTACCTTGGTCCTCCCAGCAGCAAGGATGAATGTGTATTCCCAATAGACATACAACCACATGCAGAGTACAGATACCTGTATACATGCAGCCAGCCGCACAAATCAATACAAACAGAAACACTCATGCAAACACAGATAGCACTAACAGACCTGGATGTATGAGACTCTGAGGCCTGCAGCCCCACTCCATTTCCTGGTACAGACCCCCTCACTCACAAACACAAACCTCGGGCACTCCTTCATGCACAGGTGCGTACATACACACACTGGATCCCAGTAACTGGCCTTAGACACTCAGTTTACCCACCAACTGGCCCCAGACTCCCTGGTCCTCCAGCTGCCTCATACACCCCTACACACACTGGAACCCTCACTTACACGCTATGGATGTCCCAGGAACTGGCCTTAGACATGCCGTCTGCTTGCCGACTGGCCCTGAATACTCTTTTTCCCAGTCACTGGTACTGGAATGTGAAAACCTCTGAAGCCTGCAGCCCCACTCCAGTTGTTGGTACACACTGTAAGTACTGGATGAACCTTCTCCTGTCCTCATAATAAGATATTGTCAGTGAATATTCTTTATTCACTGTTCCATATAATACTACACATCACTGGAAGTTGTGTTGTAGGACATTATTGCTACAAAAGACCAAAATAATTAAACTCATGCTTCTTGAATGGAAAAGAAACTAAAACTTTATTTCTAATTCAAGGAGCTGGGTTCTGGGCATCTGAGCATTAAGAAAGTATTAAAGACATGATACTATACAATATGATACAATATGATATGGAAGTGCAAGGAAAACCCATCATTGATTATAACAATGTGGAAAGAATAGGAGGGTGACAGAGAATCACCAAGAAATAATATTCAGAAGTTCTTAGACAGAAGCATAGATCCTTTGCTAAGGAAAAGTAGAAAGTATAATTTGATATGTTACGGATGATGTGATGAAAAGCACTCTTCCTTTATTCTCTATATAACTTGCCACCTGCCTAGTTGAAAACAAAAGAGAATAATTAAAAAAAAAAAACAAAAAAAACAAAAACCCAAAACCCAAACACAAAAAAACCCCACAAAAAACCCAAACAAAAAACTAGCAAAAGGAACAAATACAATAATCTAGGAAATAATAGACCATATTTATCAGTGTCCCAAGTGTTGTCTCCTGAGAGCATTAACAGAAATGACTATGTTGTGTCTCCATTCTTTCTCCCTTTTTTGTACCAAGGAAATGTCTTAACCTGTACAAATTATTTACTTAAATACTGAATTAATAAATTTACATGCAACTTTGTGTGTCAGATGACGAATCTGGTGACAATCTACTATGGTGACTACATTGATGGACAAGGGAAGAGTTACAGACATCATCTACCTGGACTTCAGTAAGGCATTTGATATGGTCCCACACACATCATTGCTGCTAAACTGGAGAGACATGTTTGATAGATGGAATGTTATGTGGGTAAGGAATTGGCTGGATGACTGTGCCCAAAGAGTCAGTGGCTCAATGTCCAAGTGGAAAATAGTAACGAGTGGTGTCCTCAAGGGTTTGCACTGGGACTGATTCCATTTAATAACTTCATCAAACTGACATCAATAGTGGGACTGAATGCACTGTCACCAAATTTGTGTACGACACCAATCTGGGTGATGCAGTTGATATGCCTGAGGGAAGGGGTGACATCCAGAGGGACCTGGACAGGCTTGAGGAGTGGGCTGGTGTGAACACCATAAAGTTCAACAAGGCCAACTACAAGGTCCTGCAACTAGGGGTCTGGGCAATCACTAGGATCAGTACAGGCTAGGGGATGAATGGCTTGAGCACAGCCCTGTGGAAAAGGATTTGGGGACAGTCTCAGGTGAAAAACTATACATTGGTTGGCCATACGCACTTGCAGCCCACACAGCCAAGCGTATCTTGGGCTGAATCCAAAGAAGTGTAGCCATCAGATTAAGGGATGTGATTCTACCCTTCTACTCTGCTCTCATGTGACCCCACCTGGAGTACTCCATCCAGTTCAGGGGGCCCCCAGCACAAGAAAGAAACAGGCATGCTAGAGCATATCCAGAAGAAGGCCACAAAAAAGTTCAGAGGGCTAGAACACCTCTCCCATGAAGAAAGGCTGAGAGAGTTGGGGTTGTTCAGGCTGGAGAAGAGAAGCCTTTCAATGAAAAGAAGGCCTCTTGTGGCCTTTAAATATACAAGCAGGTTTATAAGAAAGATAGAGACTTTTTAAAAACCAAGGCCTGTAGTGACAGGACTAGGGGCAAGGTTTTAAACTGATACGGGGTAGCTTTAGATTAGATATAAGGAAGAAATTTATTATGATGAGGGTGGTGAGACACAGGAACGGGTTGTCCAGAGGAGTTGTGGATGCCCCATCATTGGAAGTGTTCAAAGTCAGATTGGATAGGCCTTTGAGCAATTTGATCTAGTGAAAGATGTTCCTTCTAATGGAAGGAGGGTTGGACCAGATGATCTTTAATGATCCTTTCTTACCCAGACCATTCTGTGGTTCTATGATTGTGATTCAGTAAAGTACAGACCTACTTCCTCTAGTATCCTTGAAGAAGGACACAAAGTCATAAATGCGATTCTGTTCATACTTACCCTCAATTCCACCAGGTCACTTTTCAAATACATCTCCCAGTCCTGCTTTTAAAGGAACAAGTGCTGAAGCTTCCACTGCTCTGAGCAGGAATATCTTTCAGCCATATGAGAAACTTACCGATAAAAACTATTTCCTGGTAGTTAGTTACACTTCTCCCATTTTTTCAGATTTATGCCATTGTTCTTTGAAATTTGTGTAATTCTTTGTTCAGATTTATCCCACGTATCTCCTTGAAAACCTTGCTTATTACTTTCACTACAGGCATGAGTCGCTTTCAAATGCTTACAGAAAAGTATGATATATCTGATATTTATCTTCTTTACTTTCTGGAGAACTGGTCCTTAATACTCATCTTTGTCCATGTGCTTAAAGAGTATTTTGAGAAGGAATTTCTCTGCTAGATAGCACTGATTTTATTTGAGTTCTGGAAACACAATAATAGAAAACTAATCACATGATTTTTCAAACTAGCCTTCACAAAGCCTGGCAGAACACATGGAGGGCAACCTTACAGCTGAGAATAGATTTAGTCTGTATCCACTGATCCTTGTATTAGTGAGTAAGATCAGTCTTCAAGTAGCACACTAGCCTACCTTGGCTGTCCACACCAGACTGCTCACGAAAACTGCATAGAGCAAAGCTTTGCCACAGAGAATGAGGTAAGTGAGCTTCAGAGAATTTCCATACCTCAAGTAGGACTCTGCAAATCAAACAGCATTTGTGTATTGAATTATTGTCATCACAAGAGACTAGATCTAATGTAGCTTTAATCAAGTAAGAACCCTTGACAGCTTTAGCTAAGCAACACAAAGGAACTAGAGCCAAATGAATGGCTCTGTTGACACGAGATAGCAAGGGATGGGAAAGAACACTGTGATTCAAAGAACTAAAGAGAGAAAGCGAGTCTAGGAAAGCAGAGATTCTCTTTATGCCAAAAAAGTATATCCTGACAGGGAATGTTTAACTATTGTGTTGCCACACCTATTGAAAAACTGTACTGTACTGTTTGTGTGAATCCCTCCTAGGAACTCAAATTAAGCTGAATCACAAGATATGATTGTTTTCCACTTGTTATTGTCAGTGGCCTTGTGAGTGCTGCTGATATACCAATGAAGTTTTACATAGCTCAGAATAACATGATATCTAGAACTTTTATTCTTGTAGATTTTTCACTCTTAAACAATTGCAGTAGTATTGAGAGACCAGCCTGGTCTTGGTTCAGCCCTAAGATTCCTGAAGCATTAAAGAAATTGGTAAAATGTTTCTGTATGAGGGAAAGGAATAGTTTACATTAGAAAAAGAATCCAGACCAAATATAAACAGATGAATCAGAGATCTGTCTC